GATCAGTTGTGATAAGGAACCACACTGGCAACGTCTTATTTAAAGGACTGTGCCCTAAATTCGCAGATGGGACAGGGTTATGAGAAAATAAAGCTTGGTTCCCGCAAGAGAGAGGGTAAAATGTGCGGGAATGTAAGAGCAGACAGTGTTGATGGTGGAATTTTCAACAATGTTGCAACTTTGTGCGGAAGGGGGGGTGGGGGGGGGAACAGCAGCACCAGACAGGAGGAAGACAGAGTGTAGGAACACACACTTTCAACGCTTTTATTAGACCTGGGTCTAGTGGACCCGAACACCTTGTAATGTAAATGTTTGGGGGGAGGTACATTACCCCCCACAGAAAATAAGCCAAAGCCAATGAATTTCAGGTTAAAAAATAATTAATTTTTTAATTTTTCTTTTGAAAAAAAGACTGAAAACGAGTCTCACAGACCCGAAAACCATACAAGGGCTAAAAAAAAAAATCAGAAACCCATGAGGTACACTCTTAGAAAAAAAGGTTCCACAACGAACCAGAGGGGTTCACAGCAATCATAGAAAAACCTCTTTTGGTTCTTTATAGAACCTTTCACCAAATGGTTCCTTTAAATATACAGGAACTGTCACTGGGGCAGTACCTTCTTAAAAGGTACATATTTGTACCTGAAGGGTCCATAATGGTACCTTATTTATTTCTGAGAGTGTTTAAGTACATTTTTGGTAATGCAAAGAACCATTTTAATGGTTCTTTAAAGAACCTTTAACAGGTCAGATCTTTGTAGAATCATCTATGAGAAGGTCCATGATCTAAATGCAGTAAATAAAGAAAATCCAGGAAGAGAGATTAAACATTTAATGGCAAAACAATTTGTCTCATATAAGTCTGTCAGATTATGTAATGTTAAATTGGAAAAACACAAAAGTATTGTTATGGTAGTTTACTGTGGGACCATTTCAAACACTTCAAACTAATTAAAATGAGGTGAAACAAAACAACTCTTGAGATTTCATTGGGACATCTTGTTTTTTATGTTCAATCCATATAAATTTGTTAAAAGTGTTAAGTTAACTTAATCAAATTGTGTTGGGACAACATGAATGAATTGTGTGGAACCCTGCATTTTTTTCAGTGTAGTGCAAAGAACCATTTGTGAGTTGAAAAGGTTCCATGGATGTTAAAGTTTCTTCAAAGACCCGTCTACTACAGCAACAAAGAACCATTTAGAAATCTTTATTTTTAAAAGACTGCCTGAATGAAACTACATATTTCTCTTTTCTTTATTGAAATAAATATAAAGTGTATATACAGTTGAAGTCAGAATGATTAGCCCCCCTGAATTATTATCCCCGTTTACTTTTTCCCCAATTTCTGTTTAACGGAGAGAAGATTTGTTTAACACATTTCTAATCATAATAGTTTTAATAGCTCATTTCTAATAACTGATTTATGTTTATCTTTGGCATGATGGCAATAATATTTAATATTTCCAAACAGCTTCTAGTAATGGCTTTTTTACTTGAAGCAAGGATTTCTATGTTTGTTTTTTCTGTCCAAGGAGTCCATTGACAGCATAAAGTACCTCAAAGCTAAAATCAATTGAAAAATTTAAGATATATTCTAAATTTCTATGTATCCCTTTCCAAAAACTTAATAAATTATATTTTAACATTTATTTTCTCAATTATGAGCCATTATATATCTAAAATGTAAAATTCAATGTAATTTTTTCATAATAAATCTAATTAATTTCAACACTGACTTATTTATTCCTTTTCTTCGGCTTAGTCTTTATTTCAGAAGTAACCACAGTAAAATGAACCACCAAACCTGACTTGAAGACACTTTTTTTTTCACTGTGCTATATGAATGTATAGAAATGACCACAAGATCAATCAACTAAAGAAGTGTAGTGACTTTAACTATTTGTTGGTTCCATTTTTAATGAATAAATCACACAAAAATGTAAGTGTCATCATTTACTCGCCCTTTACTTGTTTTATAAGTTTCAATCTTCTATTGAACATGAAAAAAAAATGTAAAGACAGTTGGAAACCTGTATCCACTGACTTCCACATAGGAAAAAAACAAATGCTATGTGGAAGTCAATGTTGCAGGTTTTTAACTTTCCTAAATATTAAATATAACTGAAGGAAAAAACAAATTAATGGGTTTGAAACAAGTAAAGGGTAAGCAAATGAGGACAGAATTTACTCACTAAGGCCCAATCCCAATTCTAGCTCTTTCCCTTACCCCTCATTTTGTGCCTTTACTTCAAGGGGTAGGGGTGTCTAAATTTTCTTTAGCTTGAAGACGTAGGGCTAAGGGAAAGAGGGGTAAATAGTTCTTTGATTTAAGATTTTTCAGGACTACACTCGAAACCAAGGGGTAAGAAAATTTAATACACCAGCCACAACGGCAGTACTGCTGAACTCGGAGGTAAGAAGAATCCACAAATTAGTATTTTTGTCATTATTACAAATTTTTACGACAAACAAGCACATATTTTTATATAAATTCATAACGGCGTACATGTTTTACCGTCATGCTTTTTTTTTTTTTTTAAATGCTAAAAAAAACTGCTTAATTTCACAATCTATAATCCCTAATAAAATAGAATATACAAAAATAAAGTTGGGATTGGGCCAAAGTTGTGTTAGTGAGACCACCAGGGGTGCTTAATCCGTGGTCTGTGTGGGTCCATAATGCCCCAGTATATTGATGGAGACTCTATACTGCTCAGTGAGCGGCATCTTTCGAATGAGACGTTAAACACAGGTCCTGACAGGTCCTACCACCTTTCTGTGCAAAACTGTATGCTATAGTTAATGCTACATGAACTGTAAAGTGTTTAATATTTGTAGTTTATTTTGAAATCAAAACAGCGAAATGTTCGTTAAGAGGTACATTTTTCGCTGGAGGAAACAGCTGTGCTGATGAGGAGAAAACTCGACTGCTCCCCCGTGACATTGGGATACAGTTGATACAAGGTTATCTATATCAAAGAACTGCAAATAAGCAGATTGTATAACCATTTATTAATAATCAAACACCTCGTTCTATCACTGTCCACAGCTTTGATGATCAAATGAAAAAAAAAAAGACAAGGAGCCGAAATTCTGCCGCCGTTTACTTATCAAATTGAAAGGGGACAGAGGCGATAATTTAGTTTGCAGTTTATAAGCTAATCGCAAAAGTTTTAGGGGGGCTGAGTAGAACTATATAGCAAACGGGGGGTTGAGCCTATTTGGCTTATTCAGAACTCAAACGGGCCTGTCTATGTAAGTTGAACACTAGTACACAACCCATATTAAACAAACATTTTAAAATGTTTTACTATTAAATTACTACTTATAAATGTAATATTATGCTTTATATATATTATATATGCTATGCTATATATATATATATATATATATATATATATATATGTGTGTGTGTGTGTGTGTGTGTGTGTTTATATATATATATATATATATATATATAAGGTAGTATAAAAAATATATATATATATATATATATATATATATATATATATATATATATTTTTTTTTTTTTTTTTTTTTTTATATACTACCTTATAAGGAGCTGAGCCCCTCTAAAATGAAAATCCTAAAATCGACCCTGGTTAATATAGTCCAATTAATAAGAAATTTAATAAACAATATAAATCATTTTCGTTAACTTCCATCTGCAACAATATTTCATCTAGTAACAACCGGCTTTAACCTTGTCAACCTGGCCAAATTTGCCCACTGGCCTCTGTCCATCATGACCTAACCATCATAATTGGTTCCATCACTTTGTCTCCTCTCCACCAATCATCTGGTGTGTGGTGTGCAGTCTGGTGCAATATGGCTACGTTCGTGTCATCCAAGTGGATGCTGCACATTGGCGGTGGATAAGGAGATTTCCACCAAAAATGTGTAAAGCGCTGTGAGCGTTCAGAAAAGCACTATATAAATAATAATAATAATTATGGGCTAAGCAGTGGCACAGGTAGTGCTGTCGCCTCACAGCAAGAACGTCGCTGGTTCGAGCCTCGGCTCAGTTGTCGTTTCTATGTGGAGTTTGCATGTTCTCCCTGGACTAAGCCGATAAGAAAATGAATAATAATAATAATAATTATTATTATTATTATTATTTACTAGAAACTGTTTCTTAAACCTCCTACAATATAAACTGTTGAACCTCTATTTCTTCATTGTTACCTGGTTAAACCTTTCTGATCTGATGTGGATAAAATAATACATTTCAATGTTTCCATTTATTTGTTGAAATATTGTGAAATTAGGAGTACATTTAAACAACAAACAATATCACATATCTGAAAATTGTTTACTTATTTTGCTGAAACTCTTCATTAATAAATGTACATTTTTCGAAAATAGCTCTCCAAATGACTGTCTTTAAAAAGGAGTTTGCTACCTTTATAGAGGCTTAAAAAATAATGTAGGGTGACAAGGCTACAAAATTGTATGATTTGATTAATGAATATTATGTTACTTACACTAACAAAAGATCCTGTTTGATATAGTTGCACTTCGTTGTTTATTTTTGTTGAGTTATATTATACATTATGATGTTTTGTTTACTTTAAAGCTTATTTTATTCATTGTATAATGGACATTTCCAGTGCACTGTAAAGAATGCTGGGTTCCACTTCTCGGTTTGTGTTGGGACAACGTGAAGGAATTAAGTTAACTTATTAGTTTTAACCAATTTAAGTGAATTGAACATAAAACAATCAAGTTGTCCACAAAAACACAACAAAAAATGTGTTGTCAGTTCTATTTAAATAAGTAATTTGAACAAACAGCAAATGTAATTTTTTTTAGTGAATACATTATATTAGTCTGCAAACAAAAACCTCCTGCATTGTCTTGTCTTACTCGTGAGCGCCACTAGAGTGCGCTTTCAACACGTTGGCACTTTAAGGGGTGGAGTTTCTCGTTCACGTCATTTCTCCCATTTTTACAGTCTTTTCTTGCAGCCAGCGGCCATTTTACAAAGCTGCCGCCGAGCGTGAGGGTGCTCCTCTCTTTGTCGGTGTTTATCGTTACAGTTGCATTTAGTACGTGATTTAAAACTCACCAATATTCATTTTTATACGGTTTATCCCGTCCGCTTCTGTGTGATAATGTCTCGTGACCGATCTCGTAATCGTGGAGGATTCCAGCCCCGAGGCCGCGGAGGAATGGGGATGCGCGGTGGCATGGGCATGGGGATGGGTATGGGCATGGGAATGGGAATGGGGATGGGGATGGGAATGGGAAACCCGAACTTTCGAAATCAAAACCAGCACCATTTTCAAAACCGAGGCCCACAAATGGGTGGTGGATTTAGGCAGAATCAGGGAAATCAAGGCAACCAGGTATCTACACAACAGAAGCCGCAGGAACCCGCACAGAACAAGCCCGTCGTGCAGACTCCTCCTGCGCAAGGCCCCGGTCAGGCCCAGCAGGCCGCCAACAAAGGCCCGACGCCCCAGCAGACTCCCACCGTCGCTCCGCCGAAAATCCAGTCTGCTCCACCGAAGATCCAGTCTCCTCCGCCGAAGATTCAGTCTCCTCCGCCAGCACAGAATAACGCGAAGACGCCAGAAATAGCTTCCCCTCAAAACCAGCAAAGGAAGAACCTACCCAAACCCGCGATGGGGAATGGCCAGAAGCCGCCTGCTCCCTTGAAGCAAGAGCAGACGCCAGCACCAACACCCCCACCAGCACAACAACAGCAGCAACAGCAACAACAACAAAAACAGACTCCCGCAAACGAGCAGAGCTCTCAGCCCCAGGTAAATATATGAACGTTTTAAGTCTAATAAAGTCGTTTAGTGAGAAATATTACCATTTGCAATAGTTAGAGGCGCAAATGTGTCGTCTTGAAACATGTGTCGGTTACTAAAGGGCTAGGATGTAGCCGAGGCAGATCCGCCATTTTATAGAGCCTTTAACAAAGGCTGAACGCCGCACCGGTTCCTCGTCGCCCATTTCAGTATAAAAATGCATTTTAACTGCTTGGTTGAGATTATAAGTTAAAGTAATTATTTCCAAGAGTATATTTTGACACCTTTTTGGAACATTTCTTCAAATGTTAAATGTTTTATTACACAACGTTTAGCAACTGCTTTAACGTTACTAAAATTCTTGAGCTATGGTTAGTGTAAGTTGGTGAAATCAAGGTTTAATTTCGTAGATGTACAGTTAAATCTGAAGAAGATTAAAGATTAGCCTTTTCTCGCTTCAGTTTAGATTGTATTCAACTAATCTTTGTTGTGTGAATGTTTGTTTTAGGAATTGAAGGCAACGCTCTCTTTGCTGCGCAAGCCTGGGGAGAAAACATACACCCAACGTTGTCGTCTTTTTATCGGGAACCTTCCAAACGACATCACTGAACCCGAATTCAGGAAATTGTTCGCAAAGTATGGGGAACCCAGTGAGATTTTCATCAATCAAGGCAAAGGCTTTGGATTCATCCGTCTGGTAAGACTTAACTTACTCCATGTGATATAAAGTAAGCTGTTTTTGTAGCATACACAAATCTAATTATTTTGTTTTTTAGGAATCCCGTGCCTTGGCAGAGGTTGCGAAAGCAGAGTTGGATGATACTCCAATGAAAGGCAGACCACTCCGAGTTCGCTTCGCTACTCATTCTGCTGCACTTTCTGTGCGAAATCTATCTCCGTTCGTGTCCAATGAGCTGCTGGAGGAGGCATTCTCTCAGTTTGGACTGGTGGAAAGGGCTATAGTCATCGTGGATGACCGTGGACGCTCAACAGGGAAAGGCATTGTTGAGTTTTCTTCTAAGCCAGCTGCCCGCAAGGCCATGGATCGCATTAGTGATGGGGTGTTCCTTCTCACATCGTAAGTATTTTTGGTGTATGTGTAGTTAGTAGAATCATTATAAATGACTGCGGCTAGAGTGCTATTTTTTAACACTATTGATTACCTTTTAGGTCCCCCCGTCCAATTGTGGTTGAATTGTTGGAGCAGTATGATGACGAGGACGGTTTGCCCGAGAAGCTTGCACAGAAAAACCCCAGTTATCAAAAGTAGGTTCCAAATGTTTGATCACATCTGTTTGACATTCTGTGACTAGTATTAGGTTCACTTGAGACATGCAATCAGTTTAGAGCTTTCTAGTGGCTATAAACTATTCGTGGTCATTTTGTGATGTAAATTAAGTTGGGCAGATGGTGTGACGAGCATTTGGGTGGGGGTGATTTGAAAACAGAAGGTACCTCCTCAGTATTGATTGCAGCGAGGCCCTGTTCACACACCCGGTGTGGGGGATACAATTTTGTCGATCTGATCACAGTTGGTGAAAACCTAGTACATGTGTAAAACATTTTTTAGGTGATCCACTTTCGACCCCTTCCAGAAGCATTGCGTTACATAACGCAAAAGCAGGTGGCTAAATGTGTTTGAACCGCCACCAAAGACCACTTCCTTTCCACTTTTTAAGTTCATTCATAAACCGAGAGGGCTAGTTACATTTTTTCGCTGGCAATCTTAGATTTTGAATTAGCGGTGGAACAAATTCATGAAGTAAAATGATCTGTCAGTCCCAATCTATTTAATTGTTATTTTTGTTGCAAAAATGAATAGTTCTAAATATGACTACAAATCAGATTCGTGAAATCTAATCAGCATGTGAACTATTGTTTTTCATGTGAGATGTAGTTTTGTGATTGTTTTATTTTAAGCAAAGGTTTTTAGTACTTTTTCATAATTTTACAAAACATTCAGGCATCCTAGTTTTAAAGATGATGCATCCATTGTATTATTAGTTTTTTTTGCAACATCAATTCCTGATCCTTTGGTGATTGTTTTTTTCCACCTAATTTAACCTTTTGATGTTTAAAAATATTCTGTTAAATTTTATATATATATATATATATATATATATATATATATATATATATATATATATATATATATATATATACACACACACACACACACACACATATGTATATATGCTAAAACTGTAAAACAAAATGTATAGGTATAATAGGAGTGGACCAAAATAAAAGTTAATATGATTTCTTTAGTCTGGGTTAAGTAACCTATAGGTTGCTTATCTTGTAATTTTTTTATATTTTTTGTTTTTAAATTCTGAGAAAAAAAATTTGATTTCTTTTTTTATTTTTTAGAAGTGTTATGTTGAAAAATCAGAGAAGGCTAATACTGGCTCGTTTACACTGACTGGTACTGGTCACCTTTATCAGGTTTGCGTTTTCACTGTCTAAAAGGGTGCCCTTTCGGTGGGTGTGGTGTCCAACAGAAAGTTTCGGTCAATGCCATTCTCGCTCAAGAAAATATCAAAGTAAAGCGTTACAGGTCGTTACGTATCATATAAGAAGCACTTCTTACAAAACAGTGGCTTAATGCACATAAACACTTGACTAATAAATACTAACTTTAACACAATTTGATTATGACTGCAGATCATTGACAGTGTAAAATAGCCCACTGTAACTTCTGCAATTTTATTAAATGAATAAATAAATCCAACACATATGAACACATACAGTCCCTTACATTCTCGGATGTGTTACCATTTACAGAAAAATTACACACAGCATACATTTAGTCCTTATTTGGGTTCAAAAACGACACGCAACATATAGCCCAGTCAGTGCAAACCTCTCATCTGCATCTTTAATCCTTACCAGCACGTGAAACCTCCTGTTAGAAAGTAAATCTGTCATTCTGAGTTCGTAGTATTCCAGAAGGCGATGATAATAGCTATACATGGCAGTTTGTTCATGTTTTAGGTTGGTGAATCAGTCGTTCGCCGCTCCTTTTAGTTTTCAGTCTTCTCCTTTGGAATTTTTATTTTTTTATTTAATTTTTTTTTTTTTTTGCACTTCACTTTCACCTTTTTCTGTTTATAAAATCATGATCGGATGTCAGAAGCACTTCAATAATCATGCACACATTATTATCATCAGCTCAAAAAGTTAATTATTTTAAATATAGACGCACACAGAAACGATAGTGAGCTCTCTGGAGAAAGTGAAACTGCCCACTTTTTTTGGCCTCGTAAAACAAAAACAGGACATGGCAGATGTACATCAAGACAACGACAAGGTTTGTCTGAGCTCGGGTCGACCATGGCTTGTTATTATATGCATATAGTATTGGGATGTAATGTCTCACCTGTGTATTTAAAAATGCCGTTTCCTTTGTTTTCATTCTTCTTCTTGTGTATGCGCGAGTGACGCTTTACTGTAAACCAAAAGCTTTCAGCTGTGCATTTAGCTCTGCCTTTTAGTATTCATTTGTTGTGCGAAGGGTGTTTATTAAGTTGTACAGTACGATTCACTTTTAGTCACCTTTTGACAGTGAAAACAACCATAAAAGTGTACCATACAATACCACTCAGTGGAAACGGGCCAAACTAGTCCACAGACCCTCCCTCATCAGAGAAGTGGTTGAAAGTGGACAGAATAGACTCATTTAAACACCATGTGTGAATGTTAATGTGCCACCTTTGACCTCTCGTGATCAGCATGATAATAATCTAAATACCAGCTGCGATCAGGCTCTGAGAGACCTCATTGTTAATGGCTTTTGGTTTGACCACAGGGAACGAGAGCAACCTCCTCGGTTTGCCCGTCCTGGCACCTTTGAGTATGAATACTCCCAGCGATGGAAGTCCCTTGATGAGATGGAGAAACAGCAGAGGCAGCAAGTGGAGAAAAACATCTGTGAAGCCCGTGAGAAGCTGGAAACGGAGATGGACGATGCATATCATGAGCATCAAGCGAACATGCTCAGACAGGGTAAGATTTGGGGCTCTTTCAGTTTACAGTACAGTATTTGTGCTTAGGCTTTCAACTACACTTAAAAAAAGATTATTGAATGAATAATGATTTTTTTTGTTACAATTTTTCTTTTTTTTTTTAAAGATCTCCTTAGACGTCAAGAGGAACTTCGCCGCATGGAGGAGCTGCACAGTCAGGAGATGCAGAAGCGTAAAGAGATGCAGCTTAGGTATGCCTAATGTTGTGTATTGTGCTGGAGGCCCTTGCTGTGAAAGCAGTCAACTGATTTGTTTATGACAAACAGGCAAGAAGAGGAACGTCGTAGGAGAGAGGAGGAGATGATGCGGCAGAGGGAAATCGAAGAACAATTGAGGCGCAAACGCGAGGAATCTTACAGAATGAACAACTTCATGGATAATGTAAGTAATGCATCTAGTAAACTCTTTAAATACGAGGTTGGTTGAGTACTTACAAATGTTTTTTATTTATTTTTATTTTTTTACCTGTTTTTTCATTAGAGAGACAGGGAGATGAGAATGAACACAAGTGGAGGCATGGGATTGTCTGGTAAGATGCATTGAAGATCTAGAAGTTCATTAAATAAACATGCTGTTTTGATTCCAGAAAGAACTATTATTAGTGTTTCTCCTTTTTTTTGTTAAACCCTACTAAGCAAAGTGTCTTGTAAATATTAGTACAAAGTGTCCGGAGGATCATAAATTAAGAGTTAATAAATCAATTGTGAGAAAATTAAGGCACTTAAAAGGTATAAAAAAAGTCTTAATCCTGTTTTTACGATGTCCTAAATTTTGTTCAAGCGTTCTCCAAAGTGTTTGACTCCAAAAAAGCATAAATATATTTATTTTCATCGATTGGTTTGAGCCGGGTGCGTCCAGCCAAGCTCCTCTGCCCAGGTGATGTCACGTAGTTTGCAACAAACGCTTGAAGGTGATGTGACACTCTCCACATGTAGCGAACCAATAGAGCACGGCTGTTCAATTGGCGGCCGGCGAGGCAATTTGTTCTGGCCCTCCAAATAGTGTGACCAAGACATTAAAAATAAACTTAGGTCAGTTGAAAAACGACTAATAAAGTTATGAAGTGACATGCGTCTGTTTAATACAGCATGAGCTGCTTTTGAAGGCTGCACAGACCGCGAGTCACCTGACATTTGGATACTTGAGCTTAAAGGCTTCCTAACAGCAGTTATGCCACCTTTGTGCTAGTTTAAAGTTCTGCGCTTATATAGCTACACTGAGGCTATATGCACCCACACTGGTATAGCAGTGGACCATTCACATATCGCATCTTTTCCATGTACAAGTTCGTTATTTCCAATATTATAGTATATGCCAATATGCGTGCACAAGCGTAGCGTCTTTCAGAAGCACCAAGTAGAAAACATCTCACCCCATAGCGGAGAGAGTTGTGCGTGGCTTTCAGTGCAATGTAAACAAAAAGATATGTTAGACAAATTATCACAAATTATTAAAATAATTATGTAGGAACGCAGATGATAACAACAATTCATTTAAATGCTTACCTAATATAAAGCTT